ATAATGTGTATAGTATAGTATACTCGTTTCGTCGAAATATAAATAAAGATAAAGGAAGAGATATATTCTTTAATTACGACTCGTCGTACAATCGTTGAAATTGAATGATCTATAACTTTCAAACAAATTGTCAGTACGATATGCGCGCCACCTAGCGTAAGTTAATTGTACTATGCCTATTACCTTTACGCAAGTGCAAGCAATAAGTTGACAAAGTTTTACCGCAATCTGATAAACGGTACGGCAGTGCATAAAGTACGAACAACAAACATTCTTTTTTATATATTTGAAAATATAGTTTTTTGTCTATAGACAGATCTATAAATAATTAGAGTACGCTTTATTGATATTTTATATACTGATTTTTTTTATTCTACTTCATGAACTGTTAAAAGTGAGTACTTTTACGAAATGTTGTGTTTGTTTTTATTTTGTATAGTTACAGTTTGATATTTTCCAGAAGTAATAAACATTTAAGACTCGCGAATGAACCAACATACCCAATGTTGGAACCAAGAGCAAAATCCGTTCTGTAGTTTCGAATAAAACATAGATAGACCAACATCTACGCTGCAAGACCTGCATCTAAGGCCCAGATATTAATTGATACATTTATTTATTGTATAGCATTATATTAATATGATACATAAATATAATGGACGCTACGGGTAGGCCTGGGTATACAATTATTATAGATATACTAGCTTGCAGGGCAGACGTTGTTCTGCCCTTTTCGACGACCGTTTGTCATGTCCCATTAAAAATCCTTAAATTTGCAAAAAAATATTGTGGTTCACTCATGGGCAAAAAACTATCCTATCTTCCAAGTTGGGCCAAACTGCACACGGTGTGCAAATTTGATTAAAATCGATTAAGTTGTTTAGGAGTCTATCGCGGACAAACAACGTGACACGTAAATTATATATATTAAGAAGATTTAATTACACTGTCTGACAGATAATAGATATTAGTTACTAGGACGCTCACTTCTGCTGTCAACGCCAAAACAACAAAAATGAAATCGCCTCAATATGTCACGGTGTACAGCCAGTCCATTTAAAGATGTTAGTGATTGTAGGCCAATAGATCAATTGTGTTATCAAGAAAGTTGAAAGCTATCACATTGACACTAGCCTATATAGTTGATATATATAATAAAAATACATAAGTATATTTCTACACCTGGTACCTGGCTTGGCTCTCGCAGTATTTTTATGCAATTGACGCAGTTTCTCGACGTTTTTGATACTTTAAATAAAACTAGTTTTTACGGATTTTGTTGCGTCTCTAAATTTATTTTATGTTTCAGATATTTCTAGCACTTTACGGAGCTGTTTGACGTCTTTTTTTTAATGTGCGAGCAGCTATGCAGGTTTATGGAAGGAGACTAGTATCACTGCAACCTAAAAGATCTATTGTGATCGCTGCCATGGCTATAGTTCATTGCTAAGCTCTAAGTATTCAATGAATAGAAGGAGTTGCTTAGCCCTAAGCAATTTCACTTCTTCTGGGCGGAGTAGATAGTTTCCCAGATGAGTGTTACGTTTGCGCATTAAGAGTCCGCAATCAATTAGAATGTACGGAGGCGTTTCTTCTGTTATGGAACATAACCTACACATGCTTGAGTTGCTTAGTCCCAGGATGGACATGTGCTTTTTAAGACAACAGTGTCCAGTAAGGGCTCTTGCCAGAATGCGCAATTTATTTTTCCTTAATCCCAGGGCTTCCGAAGCGAATTTACGATCAAAAGCTCGGATTAAGGTTTTAGAATGCTTTAAGCCTGGTGTGTTAGACCAGATCTTAAGTGATTTATTGTGATAAAGAGTTTAAAGGGTTAATCGGGCTAGGCTTCTTGAGATTCCACAAAATAGCTCCGGTTCAAATTATCTGCTTTTTGAGCCCTCCCGTGCAAGTTTGTCGGCAAATTGGTTGCCTACAATACCCGCGTGACATGGAACCCATCTTAAGACGACCCTGTTGTTATATCCCAGGGCGTTGAAACGGTTCACGCAGTCTCCAACTAGCTTCGAGTCCACTAAGTTTGACCTCAGCGCTAGCAGTGCTGCTTGACTATCAGAATTTATATAAATTATATGGTTGACGTAGTGTTCTTGCAGATTATTTTCCGCACATTGAAGTATTGCGAAAATTTCTGCCTGGAAAATAGAGGTGAATCTACCCAAATTCATACTAAGTTTAAATTTGGCGTATTCCCCGTTTCCCGAAAATTCTAAAGCATGCATCGAGCCCCATTCTAGACCCATCGGTATACCATATGAGGCTACCGACCTCACGGATAACCTAACCATTAATCTGGAGAGCAGTTCCACTATATAGCTTATATCAAAAGTCACTTATTCATATCCGAGATCATGCATAAGGCCGGTGTTTCCTTAATGGAGTCGAGCATGGATCTCAATCCGTAGGAGAGCAAGCTCTGACCGCCCTGGGCGTTAATCCTATACAAATTAGCCTTCACCTCCTAGTCTAGATAAAGATCAACGGGCGTTAGGTATAGACGTGCATTAAGAGCCGCTCCAGGCAATAATCGCATAGCTCTAGTTGTCACTAAGCAGGTAGTCCTTTGTAGACTATTTAGTCTGTCCGCAGTCTTTTTTGAATTTCCTTGTTGCACCAGACAATAGAGGCGTAGGTCTGAATCAGCCTCACTATACTGCTGTACTGCCATAGGACCATACTGCGACGCAAGCCCCAGTTGTGCCGACCAAACGACTGCACGTACCTAAAGCAATTTTTGCCTCATGGCATATGTTGCTAAAGTGAGAGTTTCGCGTTAGTTTTTGGTCGATTGTTTCGCCCAAGTACTTAACTTAAGTGGAAAATGGTACTTCTTTACCATTGAGTTTTGGTGTGACTGATTTGTCCAACCGTCTCTTTTTGGTAAAGGGTATTATAACAGTTTTATCAGCATTAACTGATAAAATGTTATCCCTATACGAGTTATTTATGTGGTTTAGGGCTCTTTGTATGATAGACGATAAATTACTTTGGCAAAAGCTCCTCGCAATGATCACAAGGTCATCCAGCATAACCCAATATTTCTTTAACCTCCAGTGTTTTTTCGACCCTGTCAATGACGCTCATCAGGGCCGCTTCCGTTGATTTGCCTGTGCGGTTAGCACGGTGGTTGAAATGTATGTACCTCGTAGCTAGAGCTGCGTCTCTTATTTACCTTTTCCAATGTCTTAAGAAGAAAGGGAGAGGAAAAGGTGAGGGTTAGAGAGAAGGTCTTAAGGACATTGGTAAAGCATAGTCCTTTCTACCAGCCTTAATTATAAATAGAACTTTGACAATTGTCCATCGTTCTGGAATATAAAAACCATGCAAAAATTGCTCCGAAAATTTTTATCAGATAGAGAAGAAGGATATCGATGCCCCTCTGTAGTGGGATGGGAATTATTACATCATCCCTGCTTGTTTTAAATGGTTTAAAAGAGTCAACATCCGTCTGCACCAGGTTTGGCCTTATTATCTTCGCAGCCATATACCAGTCCTCTTTACAAGGCCTTCGTAGGGCTCTGAAAGAATTCAAGACAAAAGTCTTATGTGGCCCTGTAACACCGATGTTTCGGTTTCAGTATTAGTGAAGTTACCATCGGGCTTTTTAAGAAGCCCGATCTGATTAGGTTTAGCTTTCGATAGCATTTCGATTCTCTCAAAAATGTGCACCTATAATGTTAGATCACTTGCACCAACAGAACGATTCCTTGAATTAACTAATGCTCTAAATATATCAACTGGGATATTCTAGGCCTCGCAGTAATCCGAAAACTGATGAGATCGAAGAATACAGAGACCTTTTTTTTGCTACATCGGTGAAACCAAAGGACTACATGACGTAGGATTTCTGATCAAGAAAAAATATTAAAACAACATTACAAACTTTATAGGAATCTCACAAAGAGTAGCACTGTTACACAAAGTACAAGTAAACTTTGAATGCTTCTCCTTATCAATAATTCAGATATATTCAGCGACTGAGAGATCAACTAAAGAAGAAATTGAAGAATTCTAGAATGACATTGAGTACGCCCACACCAAGACCGAAGGAAAGGTTATAGTCATTTGAAATTTTAGTTGGGAAAACATGGTTATGGAGTGTGCAATGAAAGGGGTGATTGTCTCTTAGGCTACGCTTATCAACACAAATTGTCAATAATTACTTCATTTTTTAAAAAGAAGGAAAACCGAAGATGGACATGGTTATCGCCTGACCAAAAATCTAAAAATGAAATAGATTTTATAATGATAAAAACCAGAAGCTTGTAACTAATATAAAAGTACTAAGTAAATTCAATTTCTCTTCCGATCACAGATTATTAAGAGCAACACTACGTTTAAGTCATCCAATAAAGAGTAGAAAAACCTACATAACCCCACCTAAAATACCCAAGACAGAAGCAGAAATCAAAAATTACATCAAAAATCTACGTGCACACACAGTAAGACTGCAGGAAAGTCTGCAGTCTGTAAACATGTTCAAGATCGTCCCCACCATTATATCAGATTTGATAAACCACAAATCCTCCCAAAAGAACACCGATTGCTCCCAAGGATGATACGCTAGGCTATTGAAATTAAAAGACATCTTAAATTCAATAGAGAAGATGGTTAGGTACTGCCATCTGATTGGGATTCTATAATTAAAATTAAACCCAAACCCAAGCAAACCACTGCAAGACTTCAAGATACTGTAAGCTCGTTTTGCGTAAATCAGACCAAAAATTAATATTCGAAAACTGAAGGTAGCCGGGCTAACAATGGCATTGGGACGTCAAACTTCTCAGTGCCCCCCCCCCCCCCGTTACCCAGGGTGCTGTAAAGCACCCGAAACGTCGGGAATTAAAAATAAGTAAAAGTAATTAATTAAACGCGATAGAATCCGTAAATTTAGTTTTATTCAATATAAGTACCGTTGTCAACGTCCACTACCAAGTGTTTCTCAAATTATTGAATATTTTCTTCCTACTAACTTCAATATGGTAGTGTGTGGTAAATGTTGTGAAGAAGTGTCTAGCGCCATTCAGTGTTCTGTCTGTCGTAAGTTTTTTAATGACCCATGTTCTGGGATAACTGAAATTGAATATTGCAAGTTAGGAGATAGACAGTCATCGCGATGCTGTGTTTCCTATAAGACGTCTCAACAACTAACCCGGACTGGATCACCACTTCCTGAAACTACCCGTCAACCTACTATCAATAATATTATGGTCGAACTGCAGAAGCATTCGTGCCAATTACTGCCTCTACAAGAAGTCATAAATGATATTCGAATAATCAAAAACGGTATTTCAGACCTACGAAAATCTAATAACAATATGTTAGAAAAGCTTGATAGCTTTGAAAAAAGACTTCATGTAATTGAAAATGCTGAGAAAAAAATATCGTCTCTAAAGGAATATATAAAAAAGATGGAAGCAGAAATTAATGAAAAAGATCAGTGGCTTCGATCAGAAACGTCGAAATCAAGGGAGTAGCATTTAAACCTGGTGAGAATCTGTTTGACATTGTAACTAAATTAGGACCTATAATAACCTATCCTGTATTTAAAAGTAATATTAATTACGTAACACGTGTCCAGACGCGAGATGCTGAGCCTAACAAGACTAAGCTTATTATTTTTTCTTTAATCAACAAATATGTGTAAGAATATTTCATCGCAGCTTCTCGCCTGAGTTAACTTATTTCAACGGAAGATATTGGTTTAAAAGGAAACACCTTAGATATTTCAAAAAAGATGCAAAAGAAAAAAACTACAAATAAATATGGGTCAAGCACGGAATTTTTGTGAGGAAAACTATATATAACTATATTGATGACATTGGTTAATTATCGTACTTTTTTGAACTAAGATAGAAGGATTTATATATTTTTATAAATATTTATTACGTTATTCTGTATTCTTTTTGCTTACTGCGCTTTTTGTTTACTGCGTTTAGATACAATTATATCATTGTAGAACACTATTTGACATTATTTAATTACAAAAATGTCCTTGATCACTCAACGCCACCATTGAACTAATTCGTAGTCTACATTTCGTACCCATACTTCAGAATATTAATCATAACTTTTGATGGGATGAACCGATTTTTAAAAAACAAAGACTTTATTTAGAACAAAGATACGCTTCACAATTTTCCTAACGAAACAAATAGACAGGCAGACAGTTACAAAAATGATAGAAATGTATTCAGTTACTTATTTTTAGTCCCTCTCAATCAATTTTGTCACAAAAATATAAAATGTGCCGACATGTGCAATTTACATTTTTACTATAAGTATAGATGTACGCTAAGGATTGATTCAACTATACATACGTACATAAGCATTCACACCTGTCACTCAGTGGGGTAGGCAGAGACTACAGCCTTCCATTTGTCACGAACCTGACACACCTCTCTCGCCTCTTCCACATCCATATACCTACGCATACATGCTCGTCGGTTAAGGGTACTCTTAATTTGGCCCCATTTCAATAGATCGCCAATTTGGTCGATAAACTTTTGCCTAGGGCGTCCCTTACCGACTCTTCCATTCACTTTTGCAACATAAATTTGCTTTGTCACTCTTTCCTCATTCATTCTTTCCACATGACCAAACCACCGAAGCATTCCTTTCTTAATCCTCGTTACATCATCTTGCATACCACACTCTTCTCTTATTACACAATTTCTCATCCTGTGTTAACGATCGCATTTCTACTGCGTTCATTCTACTCTCGTGTTTCTTCTGCCATACCCAACATTCACTACCATACATTAAAGTGGGGACTAACACAGCATTGTGAATTGTCATACGTGCCTCTCTTGATACATTCAGACTTTCCACAACATTGACTTAAATATATTAAAATAAAATTAAGAATCGCCCACACAACAAAACGAGGAATGAAATTGAATGCTTAATTTGCGTTCTAAAAACTTTTACACCTAAAAACCTACACCTAAAAACATTCTAAAAACAATTTATTTTACCGTTTGTCAAACAGATAGCCTCTCGATTTTTTGTATAGAAGAGGGGGCAAACGAGCATGCGGCTCACGCCAGGGGAATTCTTTAGTTAGAAAAAATGGTTAGCATTAAGGTGGGTTAGTTGGAATCTAAAGAAGAACTCTACAATTTGCAGTAAAAAAATTCCTAAAAAATGAAACTGAAAAAGCAGAATTAAAACAATTTTATTAAAAGGAGACATTCCTACATTATTTGTACCAGTAAATAATAAAAATAATAATGTCCTCCAGACCGAATTTCGGCCACGGCGGCCAGCCTCAGCGGAGGCTAGCCATCGGCGCAGGACAGGATTATAGTGCCCAAGTGATGCGCAAGCACAGGTGCACTCTCTATTCCCTCGCTCTCATAATCCGATGGGACGGTAAACCGACACGACCGGAGAGAGATCAGGCGCAGGAACAGCGGCTTTACGTGCTTTCCGAGGCACGGGGTGAGACACCGCCAACTTCCTGCCTTCCTGATAAAACGCAAATACCATTCATCTTGATACCGGCGACAGCGTATCGAGGGCGTATTTGGCTAGTCTGTTATGATCACTTTTTAAAATTCAAGCAGCTAAAATGATAATAAATTAATTATTACTTTATATTTTTCAAGGACAGATGAAAGAAAGAGTAGCATCATAAACATATTGACCCTCAATACAGATCAATTTTATTTAACTTATTAAGTAAAATTATTAAGTTTACATTCATATATAAAGCTAATGTTAAAATAAACTTCTGTAATGAATTAGATTACTTATTAATTGTTAAATGTTAATATTAAAAGTAATACTTATGAAAAATATAGTAGCCATTATGTACTATATGTGTCCCAGTTTTTAATTTCACCAGCAAAACGTTTTATAAAATATAAATAGCACCATTACAGGGCACCAGCGAAATATTCCCAATCTTTGACGAGTTATGACTATTTAAAATTGGTATGACATTTTGTTTTCCGCCTTTTTAGCCAAGGTTTCATTCCAGCTACATCATTAGATCAATTATATGATATTATAATATTGCATTGTCATATTAGACGTACGTCATATGGGGTTTAGAATGATATCACTTTACTTTTGTGTTTCGCTACTCAAGCCCTTTCATTTGATACCCATATCATAGGATTTATTATTGAAACTATAAATTGACATTTAGTGACGTCCGCCATTTTGAATTTAGAATGACATCACTTTGATCATTGGGTACGTTTGGGAGAAAAAAGCGCTAGCAAGGGCTTGTAAGCAAAATGGCGATCGTAAGCGGTAAGCGCTGTCAAATCGTAAGTAGCTATTTTCCTCCAGGACACGATGTTAGTTTTAACCGGAGAACCTAACCTAATTTAAATATATGTTTGTAAAGTATTCATATTAAAAACTTACCAATCATGTGTGGCCGTGGTAGGAAAAGGGGAGATCTCCCGCCGGGCAAGGTGTTGTGCCCGGGGAGCGGCCAACACTCCGAGTGATAGTTTTTTTTTTGCGCCCGAAGCAATTAAAGGGCTACCCTATACGTAGGGAGGCGGAAAATGCATTACGCATACCACGATAGCCGGTCTATCGTGGTTATGAGGGGCTCACTGTCCTACCGGGGACCCTAAGTTATCACTTAAATCCCTCTAAAAACCGCCTTTGGGGACAGGCAGCCGGCTGATTAAGCTGTATTGTGCCTTATCATGAGCGACCCTCTTTTGGGAAAAGAGGGCGCAGGCGGCTAAGAGCCGCTGAGGGAATGCCTACGAAGGCAAATTAATGTTAGTTAATGCAATAATTTAATTTAATTAGAGTTGGCCTGAGCCGCCAGGAGACAGTTCAGGTCGTTTGACAGTTTATTAGGCGGGTCCGAGAGAGAGTTTCTCGGCCTGCGGACACGATAGCGAGAGGGGGGTGGGGCTGCATAAGAAGCTGCCTCACGAATTAAATGGTTTGGGTGCGACTCTGAGGCTTTGAAGAAGTTCTCAGAGAGTTTTTTAAAAAATTGTTGAATTGTTGGGAGCTCTAGGTCCCGATGAAGGTCGGCATTACGGACGTACCAAGGTGTGTTCGCAGCTCGACGACAGAAGAGGTTCTGAACTATTTGGAGTTCATTTAAAATATTAGGGTTTGCGTGGGCAAAGACGGGGCCCACGTAGGAGAAGTGATAGTTCGGAGAAGTTCTATATATACTGTCTATGATTCGGAATGTTGATAGTGCGATTTAGGCTTCGGTGTGTTTCGCTTGTGGCGCGACGACAGCACCGCTACACATGAATTTTTAATAACATGTATATGTTTATTCATGTCACTATATTACTTAAAACTAATATTGCACAAAACAACTTATAAACTCTACCAAAACAAACAAATTGACAAATAAGCAAAATGGCGGATTGTGTCAGCGCTACTGAAGTAGCAATCGTGTCCTGGCCGAAAACTATTTCAGCGCTTATAAGCGCTTGCTAGCGCTTTTTTCTGCCAAACGCACCCATGTCTTGCTAATCAAGTCCTTTCATTTGATGTACATATCATAGGGGCTACTACGGAAATTATGCGTCGCCATTTTGTGAGTGATAACTTCACTTTATTCATTGTGTTTTATTTATTAAGCTCTTTCATTAAATACCCATACAATGCGAATTGCCGTCGAAATGATAAATCGCTATTTTGTAAGGTCCGATATATTGAAATATGAGTAAATTGTCTTTTAACCCGATAGTTTTAGTGAAATTGGATGAAATATTGACATTCCAGGACATACATTCAAGTGAAGTTAAAGAAAAGCTTTTAGTAAATCAAATAAATGCAATGTCAAACTTTTACTATTACAAGGTTAATATCATCAAATTTTAGTGGAGGTAAAGGAAAAATATTGTAAAAAATAAACAAAAGTTTCAATATATTTCGTAAGTATAATATTCTTGTATTGTTTAGTAGGCTTTACAACTAATAGAGATTTAAGTTTTTTTAAAACTTTTCTATTTTATTTTCGTTATTATTTTTAGGTTAATGGTTGTATAATATATGAGCCATCCCTAATATACTATGTCATGTATGTGTATAACATATATTGGGGATAATTGTCTGGAAATCAAGAAACACAGCATAATCGACAAAAAGTAATATTTAGCTTATTCAGCACTTATAATATATTATTTGCCAACTTGTGGAAACATTGTGCACAAGTTGTTCTATTAATCATACTGCTATTGCTGTGCAGTGGCGGTGTAAGAATATCCACTGCCCCATATCGTCCTGTGGGTGCCGTACGAGGCGACAGAGTGAAACTGATACAGGTGATGCGCAGCAGCATCTTCCTGAAAACAACCCGAAATAATAAAAAACTGCGGTTGACAACCCGCTCACCAAGCTTGTCAACTATGGCAAAATCCCCCTATGACGCAATCTGTGGCGGAGTCCTATGTTCAGCTGTGAACTTTTATAGGCTGTAATTGACTGCTATTTTAGGTAGTTTGATCCGTGCCAATCATGAGAACTAGTTGTC